GGCGACGCCACGTCCATGCTTCCATGCAAAGTCTGTCATCTCTTCTTTCTTTTTTCCCCCTTCGTCAATTTTCGTCATATTTGGAGGCATGTGAGCCACGTGTGGGCATTCACACCCCGAGATACAGCAAGGAAGGTTCTAGACAAAGATCATACGAATTATCGTGCGCTCTCGTCTTTTATGTCTGTTTTCATGTACTACAAAAGAAATCGGACAGTGTGAGATTCTGGGCTGCTGGGAATCAGAATAGGTCTGCTGGGTTTGAGCAGCGGCTAACTCAGACTTCTAACTCGGGAACATCCATCCACAAAATATGAAGCCGGGGAAGCCAAGATCTGAAATCGTTGATCCTTGTCCTTCCGCATCCGGCATCTTCCACCGGCTGGAGAGTCATGAAACCTACTGTTGGTGCTTCACACCACCAGCGCCTTGCAGAGGGCGAACGAAGCTATCGAGAGAGAGATTGAGATCTGAGACCATGGTGCGGAACGGAAACGGGATGTCGTGATGGAAGTCCTGTGTTAAATTTATACACCTCGCTTCTCGTTGCTTAGTTCAGGTGTCCGTAGGTGGGACTAGTACTAGTAATTCCCGCGTTCTTGGGATCTTCGATCCGTCGTCGGCGCTACGAGCCGTCTTCGAAGTTCGTAGAATCAAGGAACCATCTCCGTCAGTCCCGAGATCAAATCAATGAAAAGATCAAGAGCCACAAACTGACAAGTTCTCCTCCACAATAGCCACTGAGGTCGGGGGCGTCAACTTCAACAACCGGATGTTTCCTCCTGCTGTAGGTGTTCGGCCGTACGTCCCTCCCACGTTCTTGTTCCAAACCGCCTCGCGGAGGAAACTACCGAAGCCTCTTTCTAGTTCCAAATAGCTTTCGTCTCATCTTTTCTCCTTCCCAAGTGAACCACAATCGGCGTCTACCTGCGCGTGTTCGGTCATCTGCCATTCCCCATTCTTATTCCAACGCCAGTGTCTTCACCCGGAGGATGGTACCGAAGTCTCTTTCCTCATGCTTCCCGATAACTGGAGTCTCATCTTAAAAAGCATCTCTACTTCCCAGATTCGCTAAACTTCAGCCGAGATTCCCCGCCACAAGCACCAAAAGTTCATCTACATACAAGCTTCATCCTCGTGCGTAGGTCTCACTCTTCAATGACTCGCGCTCTGCCGCTTCTGCTTTTCCGTTCTCTCCATTATTCTCCAAATGTTTCGTCTCACAGCTTGATCTGGTATCCAGTGGCCAAAAATAGCATGCGCACCAGTCACGATCCATGCTTTAATTGTCCCAGGTACAAGTCCGCCTTCTGGCGGCGCACGAACACAGTACCTGCCAGTGGCTTCGTCAGCGGCAGACACAGGCGTTGCAGATCCCCGAGTCCCCGTACCGCTACAGCGGAAACGGGGACTTGTCTCGACGATCGTACTGCATTTAGAGAGATGTTTCCCCAGCAGCAGGTCCCCGCTAGGACCCCGAATTACCTCAACCGGCTCGCGGGGAACTGGAACTTCTATGCAGCTTCTATTCCCATTCACACTGGCTGCGCTAAAATGGACCCTATGCAACTCATCTGCCATGTCTCACTTTCTAGAAATAGTACTGCAGATCACAATTAAGTGCAACAAACTTACAACCCGTTGTTGCCCTCGTTTCTTTTTTCAGAAAGCTCTTTTTGAATGTCACTGCCAAGAGCGCAAGGTTATCCCCCTTCTTGAACTTTGTATCTTCAAGTCTCGCGTGGGGTGATCCAGGAATGAATTTCGTCCGTCGGGACCAGCAGATCTGGGTCTAAGACATTGAAGAATAGGTCTCAAAGCCTGAGTCAGTACGAGCGGATTAGATCTAGATCTCCACTTAAACCTTCCAAATCTTCTAGAAGGTTTCATTCGTCGAAGCGAATGCTCGGTGGTAATAAGAGTATTCAATTGTATGCGATTGGGTCGAAGGTGTGCTGTCTAGGTCCTGGTTCGGTGAGTGAGGTTGGGGCGGTGGATAGGGGCTCGCTTACAATGCTTCACCTCGTTGCCAAGAGTCGTCCAAGTCAACAACAATTCATCTAATCCCTCTGTCGAGTGTATACATACAATAACATATTATTGGACATTCAAAGCAAGCATTTTGACCTAATGTACCATAGTTCTAGTCCCGGCTACCAGGAGTTCGACCAAAATCTCGTACAATCACCTGCTCTGAAGGATAACTAAAATAGAATTGTGAATCTTGTGATATACAGACTTCTATACGATTTATGACTTAGTAGCAAAATACAAACGAATAGGCAAGTATTAAGAAAACTGAGATATTGCACTTAATTCCTCCCGAAGGATCCACACTCGGGGAAGGCTAGGAAAGGGGTGGAATTGCCTTTATCCGGATTCATTCACACGGCTGGACTCCAGCAGTTTTCTAATTTAATCCCCTAAGGTCACCAATAGACTTCTCTTAAAGACTATTAGAATCGCCTACCGGTCCCATCTCTCTCCATAGCATCTACAAAGGCACCAAAGCCAACCCCACAGACAAACAATGCAAATACATAACTCCATCCCATTCTCAACCCCACCCTGCTCGGTTCCCAAATTCTTCAGAAGCCAACAGGACATCTATGTATCCACGAGCATCCTTCCTCCATTTCCAACCAGCGTTACCTCATCAACTCCTTCACCCACTTCTCGTTCCCCTGCACCGAGTAGACAAATACTTCAGCCCTCAGAACTTCTTGCTCAGTACCTCACCCTCATCCAAGACCAAAATCAGGGAATATGTCACCTTGCCATGCCCCTCCCATATTCCATCCCTTCCTATCTACAAGCTTCGTTTATCATAGACTTCCCAACTTCATGCCTCCGGCGCCTCTCTTTCTTCCCCGCGAGGTACCACGTCTCGTCTCGTCTCGAATTTCATCCCCCATTCCCACCTATACTGCCACTTCCCAATCCCGAGTCCACCAGCTTTAACTCTACCGGGAAAGGAAATGGGGGAAGTACACTCCATTTACTGTCTCCTGCTCTCTTACCTACAAACCCAAATCAGCCAGGTAGAAAGTAAACCAGGGCGAATGTGATTGCTTTGATAGGTCCAAAGTGCCACTAAACTCCCCGCCTTATGGAGAAAGGAGAATTAAGACGTCATTGGCAGGCTCATCTTATCCTTCAATAAACCTAAGCAAAGAAGTAAAAAAAAATCAAAGCACAGTGCTTGGCTCCCAAAGAAAAGCACCCATTAGCTGATGCATCTTGCAACAAAAATCATTGTATGTCTAGTGAATTGATTTCAATACAGAGCAAAGGTTGCAGTATTAGGATGTATGTCCTGTAACAAAAGTTCGCAAAGGGGGATAGGTTGAGCAGTCGGGAAAGTGTCTTATAACGAAAGTCGTGGAGTCAAGGGTGAATATAAGATAAAGGCAGAACTAGGCAAATCATTAGTAGAAAATGCGTAAAGGTAATAGTTGGAAAACATAATACCCGACGAAGAAATCGGAATGAGATTTGCCGATTCAGTGCGAAATGCAATGAAATGTTCAGAGGAAGAGGGCAGAGCTGTCATTGGCCGGTAGATGTGCAACAAAAACTATTTAGTCGAGGCAAATATAAATAGGAGTAAGAGAACTAGGTCAGTGTGTTGTGCAACGAAATTTGCTCAAACCTTAACTGAACCTCCATCTATTCACTGTCCTCTCACATCCTTCCTCCTAACACATTTCAATCACAAGACGCTTACTTAGTACCCCTAAAGAGAGAAATAGCTTATTTTACTTGCAAATATTACTTTGCAAATTATGCTCCTCGGATAAGGGCTATACCTCTCTCCTTCTATTATGTTTCGCGTTCCTCCCCTCCTGCCCTAGGTAGTTTTAACTCGAGTCGAGTCGAGTCTAGATAAAAGATGGAATTTTCGAGAGCACTTGCATAAAAGTTCAAAGTATAATAAAGAGCAGAGAACTGAGCGAGTTCGGATAGATTACTAAAAGTATGGGGTTCTTGTAATGAGCTAGAACGAGGAAGATGGGAGAGCAGCGATATAAGATAGAAGAGCGTTAGACTCGAGAATAGGTAAAGAAGAAGGGGATAGAGAAGTTGGGGCAAATGATACTAGAGGTCAAGGGAAAAGAAGTTAACTTTGAGTTAAAAGGTACGATTGAAATAAAGTAGCTAAGAGGGATAGAGACATAGAGGTAGAGCTATCTTTAAAGGCTCTTTTAGCTAGTAATTGGCTCACTATTATAGATTTACCAAAGAGCAAGATATGAAGCGTGGAGGTTGGAGGCCACTAGTGAGATACTGCTTAGAATAATATTTACTTTTAGTGCCTCTTTTGCGCCACAAATTTATAGGAGGGTAAATAGAAAGGTGAAAAGCGAAACCGCCCTCTCGACTTCAAAAGTAAAGACAAACAAGAACGTGTTCCTCTGTCTGTAACAAAAGTCTTTAAGAAGACTACAGATACGTTATTTCACAAGAAGAAAGCTGTGGCGGTGGGTAGGACATAAGAGAGGAGCGTAGGAAGGAAACCCTGCCACAATATAGAAGCCCGGGCGACAGGGAAAGGATCTTGAGAATATCTGGGCATAGTGGCTCATTTTGAGCGCCCTGTGAAGGAAGCAGGCTGGCCTTATTTCATCACGCAAATGAAGCAACATTAGAGTCAACATCTCAAGTAATCAACCATCTTATTTCACCTCCACCTCACTGCCAAAGCAGCCAAATCTCCAATCTACCAGATCCACCCCTCTACCCCTCCACCACCCTCATTCATCATCAAAGCAAAAAGCAATAACCTCACAAACAAAGGAAAAGAAAATGTACATTTCATCTGACCTAAATCCGACTCCGCACCAAGGAAAGAAAAGCGTGCCTGCTTGCTTGCAGGTATGTTCGTACTCCAGCATCTAGCGCGCCTTAACGTAAATTTCTTGCTCCTCAAATGCAGCCAGGCAAGCGTATGCTGATTAGCCCGGCTAATTTTGAAGAAAGAACGCGCAAATAAATCAACCTCAGTTGTCAATCAGCATCGAATCGCCTTCTCCTTTTGCAGCGTTTTCCTTCTTCTGAACACCGCCATTGCCGTCACTGTAGTAACCGGCGCCAGCACCGCCTTCGCGCTCCGTGCCAATCAATCTGTACTCGCCGTCGCCTCTGCGCTCGATGATTCCTTCCTCGAGGGCCCACCGAGCGAGCATTTTGTCGACACCGAGTCTACCAGCTTCGCCCTTCTCCATATGTCGACCAACGTGTTCTGTCCAGTCATCCCAGCTGCCTGCACCCTCGAAGACGTTGGAACAATCCGGCTTTGGGCATGCGGATCGTTGAGGCGGTTGGCGTCGGTGGACTAGACACGAGGCTTGCATTTCTTTGACATGAGTCTCCCACTCTAGTTGGAGTTTGCTATCACCCTTCGCAATGGCCTTCTTGATGGCGAAAGGGGCGTGCATACGGCGGAGATGTTGTGTGAAGAGATCCTTACGGTTGAACTCGTTGCCTTTGCCTTCGACTGTGCTTTGTGGACATGACGAACAGCGGTAGAATGTGAGGCAGAGATGTTGTGATGCAATATGACGCTTCCATTCGTTCTTTGAGCCGAACGTACTTGTGCAGCCGGCGAAGGAGAAGGCGCATGGGAATGGCCGAGTATGGGCCGCAGCGATGTGCTTTCTGAGGGAGGAGGAGTCCTTGAAGGGAGCGTGACTGCATAACGAGCATCGTGTATCTTGTTTCGGACCTTGCTTTTGGATGGATCTTCGTGGCTTTGGCCGCGAGGCTGGGGAATTGTATTCTGAGCTATACATCTGATCTTCGTTACCGGAGTCTGCGGGTTCTTGTGACGAGGCAGACTCTTCTCGCATTCCAGGAGAGTCCTCGGAGGCAATATGTGAATGATTCCGCTCACTGGCAGCTGGATCGTGGCTGACATGTCGGACATGGCTCAATGCCTTCAGTTGTTCAGCAGCCTCGTGCATCTCAACAGAATCCTCCACGTCATCTTTATGATCGGCAACACCAGACGGTCCAGGGTCTTGATAAACGACTTGTGAGACTGCATTTGCCATGACCATAGAGGGGTCGTGTTGCATAGACGGCTCACGTCTGATCATTACAGGAGTTGATGCTGCTGCTTGCCGAGCTTCGAGAAGGATCTTTCCATCTTCTAGTTCTTTGAAAGTTGCAGCCTTGCTCAGAGGTGAGATGCCACTGACGAGATGATGATACTCGGTGGTCATGTTATGAGAATTAACGTATCCCAAGAAGGCGCAAGTACGATCAGCAGCCAACACATTCCAGACGGCTATAGGCATCGACACCAGAAGGACTGTTGGTGGGCCATTGAACATGCCTTCAACGGCAATTCTTGATGCTGCCTGAGGAGTGTGTTGGAGCCATTGCTTGAAAGATGCCATGTCTTGGCTTGGTTCACCTAGAAACGTTGTACATACGAGAGCTCTAGGCTCATCGAACGTTAGATCTGAATTCAGGTTGATCTTTATGTTGTGGTCGTAATAATTGTTCCTCGAGAGATCGTTTTCTGGGGAGCTCAGTGGCGAGGGGACATGAGGAGATTGCCCAACAGGAGAGAGGGAGATGCTCTGCATTGAACTAGGTGTTAACGAGAAACATACAGGCATTCTCTCATGACCGGAAGCAGATTTGGCGGCGCCATTGGTGAGAGGATGTTGGAAGATTCTGCTATGTTGCATGGCGATGATCTCCTCATGAAGACGCTGAACAGTGAAAGCACGGCCCATGGCTAGCTTATTAAGTGCTTCGATCAAGTTGGAGGTAAAAGATCGGACGCCTGGATCTCGTGCAAGCTGATCCGGAGTATACGCGGCTATGGCCTGCTTGGTGCCGTACTTTCCAGCACTTGGAGCGTCGGCAACAGCACAGGTATCGAGAAGGAGCAAGATGTCGGATTGGGCATCCTCTAACTGCATTCTGACGCCTTCCCACTTGAGTCTGGAAGAGTCTTCTCGAGAATTGCTATTTTCACATTAGCGGAGGCCGTGAGGCTGAGCGAGGTTTGTCATACCAAGCCCAGTATAAATTATGATCAGAACCAACGAAGCCGTAGCCAGCGTAGTAGACGATCAAAAGGTGATCCGGTCTCGCATGTTCAATGAGTTGTGCCATTTGCATGGTGAGCTTGGAGATTGGGTTCGGGCAACTGGGTATGCTCCATGACTCGGTACGGTAATTGAATCGCTCACGGAAGACCTTCTGGAGGGCCATCAGGTCTGGCTCGACACTTACATCATCTTCCCATCGCAAGAGGAGGACCGAGACGCTTGTATAGATTGATCGATTGGCTTGCGCATAAATGAGCATCGCTGCGTCTTGCAGATGACGGGCGAAGGACTCGAAGTCGGTGCGCTCGGGAGGGGGTACGGCATCTTGGACGGGTGGCAGAGGCTGGTAGTTGTACTGAACCTGCGGTGACTAGACATCTGGTCAGTCTGCAGATCGGATATGAACTGTATGGGGAGCCTTACCTGCTCGTGAAGTGGTTTTTCGGCGACCTTGGGAGCGAGACGACGTTTCTTGTTAGAAGGCTCCATGGTCGCAAGGCCGACACAACGAGGCTCTCGGACGGGGAATTGGAGGTAGTGGGGAGACAAGCAATTGCGCTCAGTACCACGATGATGTATCTGCGATGATTGAGTCGGTGGTGGTTGTCGTGATGATGGACGAAGGTTGAAGGTTTTGCAAGGCTCTGACCTGGGTGCTGCCAGCCCAGCCTCGAACTGGCGAGGAGGCTGTGGGCGCCCGGCAGATTGCTAGTGACTGTCACGTGAAGTCTGCGATTCTAAGCCATGCCCAAAATAGGTTTGGATGACAAACGAGCCACAAGCGAGGCGGCCAGGAGAATGTAATTTCTCGTTTCATCTGATCTTCCTCAGCATTTATTTCTTCACTTCATAGTATTTTTACCGTGTCACTCTCTCTATGATACCCATGAGAATCAGATGTAGTCTCAAGGCAGGCTGTCCAGAAAGTCACTCCACAGTCGAGCAATCCAACTCTCCCCCACTGCTCCTTCAGCTGACATCTAAGACAGATTCACCGCATATGTCGTGGCAATGAATCAACCCCTTTTAAGATAGCTTTTCAGATACATCGGGAGCATTGCCCAGTGCCTTTGTCTTGCATAGGAAAGGTATACATTTCTCAGCCGAGTCAGCCAGTCATTTCTCGCGAAGTACGTTCCAGCAGCTCAGCTGAAGCTGTACTGGCCGAAACAGAGGTCTCAGCTGACGAGCCATGAATGGGGCGGGCGAGGCGGCGAAGTGCTAGCCACTCAGACTCCATTCTATTCGATCTCTAGAAATAATTCTAGTAGCCTCTGTGAGCTTCTTTCATCATGCGAGGTTCTTCAGTCAGCCTCTCCTTTTCATAGCAGGGACCGGTATTGTCAGCCTTTCATCTCGCCTGATCCTTCCTCAGCCTTTGCTTGTATCTTACCACAGACATAAATCTTGCATTTTGTGATAGCTACTCAGGATCCACATCTTAGAACCTCAAAAGAGGGTACATGTTTGATATCATTCATTTACCATTTTGCTGTAATTTTGACTCCCAGTTTTAGTATGTCCTCCGGCCCCCATTTCCCAACCTATACTCAACAGCCCATGATATTACCTCATGTATTCGCATTCTCGTCCAAGAACTGCACGCCGAATCGCTCATATTTATTAGACATTGATAGCGATCTGACGCTCGGTTTCTTGGGCTTGGGGTTGGATGGCACAGCACTCGGTCCCCCTAAACTAATAGTCTCCTGCGTCTCCTCTACATCCTCTTCCGCATCCTCATCGCCGTCGACGTCCTCTTCGTCTCATCCCATTGCAGTCACCTTTCTCTTCACGATGGCCCGCTCCCATCTTCGGCTATTACCCGCCGTACCTGTCTTCTACTTATATTCCTTGAGAATCGCATTTCTTGCTTCAAACTCGTCCTTCTCATCGCCTCCCTTATACCTGATCGCTGCCGAGGGATGGCCTTTGGGTCCAGTAAAATTCTTGAATTCTCTCATGCAAAATTTGCATGTCTTAATCTCAGTGGGGTCTTTTGCCACTTCCTGATAAGCAACCACCTCCGCTGGCGTTGGGGGAAGCTCGAGCGCGTCGAAATCGGCCATGTCAGCTGTAACAACGCTGACCATGCTGTGCCGCTGGCTGGATCCATGCACCGGTTCCACGAAATGCTGGTATAGGCCGGTTCGCACGAAGATGACACTATCCCCGTACATGACGTACTTCTTGTTGAGGGCCGGGATGTATAGTTCCCCTTCTTCGCCTCTCTTATAGTCACCCCAAGCGAGCATGACAGTTTCCACTTCGTCGAAGTATCCGGTGTCGGTATCCGGAACTGCCGTGATGTCCGTGTTTAGCACAAGTTGATGTGCGAACTCTCAAGGGTGAACACAAGGCCACCGTGGCCACTTCTCTCGCGCCAGTGGCTTACAATCTCCGTCGCTCGCTCAAAGGTTTGGGGATTCGTGATTTGGTATAGCTGACCAAGCATCTGTTTAAGAGGAGTTAATTCTATGAATAACTCGATTTCAGCCATGAACTTGTGACGACCTTCGATTGTCTCGCTGGTTGCTCCGGGCATTTGTTCAGGATGACCATCTTCTTTGCGACGGAGTTTCTGAGTACCGCCCTTCAAAATCGCCACAAGCTCATCATATCTTTCTCCCGGACAAATAGCCTTAAGACCATGGGCCCAGTACGTGATACCAGCCTTTCCGTCCTCTTTGACATCCATCTGATCTTCCGTAATGCTGACTGCATTATCCTCGAAGTGGCGCATTTGCTCTTTGCTGATCCTCGCGTGCTTTAGTCATAGGAGTTGTTCGGTTGAGAGCCCGGTTCTATCCACTTTCAACTGCGCCTTTATTACTTTTAACTTGGTTGCCCATCCTTCTCGCTCGGCTTCCGGCCATTCATGCAGCCAGATTGGCTCTCGTCGCTCCACTGGTTCTGTACGGTTCTCGAACTGGGTGAGCTTGATTCTCGCCGCTTGGAAGTCAAATGGAGCATATTGGATGAGATTTGGGATTTTATCCTGTCTGTTGTCGTCTTGCTATTAGTATATACTGAGATGATGCATCTTCGGAGGCTACTCCAACTGGATGCTAAGCTCAAGCAAGGAGTATTTGTAATCTTACATACCAACAACGCAAGTGCAATGGCTAAGTTTAGCTTGAAGTCGAGCTTGCTGGTTGCAAACAAGCAAAGCTCAAAGTGCGGGAAGAAACACATACGTGCAAAGACTATTGCCCAATAAATGTTCCTGCTTAGGTGGAACGAACGTTCACCTGTTGACTGCACTTGATTGGGCACCAAGGAGGCGGGGTTAGGGTTATGCAATCTTGTCTGTTGTCTGTTGTCTGTTGTCTGCAAGTCGTGCTTCTGTGGCCTTCACTATCAGGGACTAGTCTATTAAATTTTTAGCCAGAAAAACATGCTAAAAAGTAAACATGCAACAAACGTTATGGTTGTTAGTTCTGACAGCGTGGTCCTTCGCCGAAAGATTTGTGAATATAAACCAGTGACTCGCAACTATATTTATCAAACACAAGACTTAATTACCCCGCTACAGCTGTTGTCTATTATAATGCTTTTATCTGTATTCTTCACGATCAAGGCACTACATATCGTTTGTCCAACTCAGGCGTCAATGTTCCAGCCAGACAAGATTATTCTTTTTGGTTATGCTTTAGCTGAGTGCAAAAGTTTGCTTGCTGTTTGCAAGACCCTACAAGCCACTCTATCCCTTTTCGTTACGAAGGAGTACAATTGCATACAGATTCTCTAACCTCGATCACGTCCTCTAAACCCAAATTGGACTTGTTGCCAAAGCAACGTTTCTCACCTTTTATGTCCCGTGCTCCGCATAATAGTTCCTCCTCGAGATACCAGAACACAACTTAGAACTATACTAACAATCCTGCAAATATCAGGAAATGTTAAAGTAAGCGATGATGGTAAGTATGAGAGCAAGTATTTATTCATATTGGAGCTTAGACAAGTGATAATCTTTCCAAACCACTCACAGATCGCTTCTTCAAGATCCCCTGGCGCACACCCACTTTCTCCCCTCAACTGACTAAGTGTCACTTCGATCAATTTGGTTCTCCTTCTTAGTTTTAATCCACCTATGCGCAATCTCCAAATCCTTTGGGACTACCCAATTCTTACGACTCAACAGTCACCCATAAACGCCCCTCCCCTTAGTCTCCCCAAGCAACTCCTTCCCCTCCCCGATCTTCATCAGATAACCATTCGGTTCAAACCTCTCCGTGACGGTCTTGGCTTCTTGGAGAGAAAGTCCAATGTTTGCGACGCAGAAACGACGCAACCACCATCTACACTTGTTGTCTGTTTACATTCCTATTGCGTGGTTGAGGATGCGGTGGCTTTTTCGAAATGGTGTTTGAAGGGGGCAATTGATGGAGTATTCTCGGTTGTTGTCGCTTTCGCCGTTGTCGTCGATTTCTCGTTGGCTGTAGAGGAGTGAACTTGGCATCCCTCATATTTTGATTTCTTGAGGAGGGGGAAAGGCATGGTGAGAGTTTAAATTGGCCGTCTGAGAGCTTTAATACTCGAGAACCAAATAGTTGTGGATTCACAGAATCGAGCAGTCTGCATTATTCTAAAGTATATAGGGTATTAACAAACAAGCCGTAAATAGAAATAGAACCGGTTCTATTATATAATAGCTATTAAGTTTACAAGTAATTATATTATAACCTAGCTATAATATAACTTGAAGCAAATAGGTTTAATAACTTAAAAAGTATTCTTATAATATGCTTTATTTCTCATATAAGAAATATATTTTAGAAGGAAACTATTACTTTTATTTCTTAATCTTATATTATATTGCCTAATATATAAAGAATAATATAATATTATTTCTCTCTTATTTTAAAAATCGAAGAAAGCTTACTTAAAAGAGTTAAACTCAAAGTCAAAATTATAACTCTTGCTTAGTTTTTTATAATATACTTTAATCTTTATATTATAATATACTTTAATCTTTATATTATAATATACTTTAATCTTTATATTATAATAACTCTAAACTAATTCTAAGTATTATAAATAGCTCTTTCTTATTTGCTATTATACTTGAGATTTAGGTAAATTAAAGTTAATAGAAATAACAAGCAAATTTAAAGGATATATACTTAACTCTTATAAAATAAAGTTAGAAAAATGAATTGAGCTTTTACGTAACTAGAATAGAGCAGAATAAGTATAAGCATTATTAACTAGTATAAGAGAAATGCGAGGGAGCTGTGCTTAGCGCTGTGAATATTATAAAATATGACAAAAATCTGTAATGTATAATGCAATTGTGCTATTAATAGAGTAATAGAATGGGGGGTCGCAAGAGTCGGGTTATGAAAAGGCGATAAGCGAGGCTTGCTAGTAGGAATCTGCTATAAACACTTTAAGATGTACTTGATCCTTCACTAAAGAAAGTGAATAATATGACACTTACTACTATTTAGTCTTGAATCCGGACCGAAATGAAAGGGGGCTAATTATGTGTAGTGATAGTGGGACTGAACCAAAGATAGAGTAGGCTTGCCGGGATAATAACCCTAAATTTTCATTTGACAGGTCTAATCCTTGCCTATTTTTAGTTTGAAGTCCATCGTCATCTTCAGCAAGAATGCGGAATCTTCGTCCTTTCAGTCACGGAGGGTACCTCCACTTGACAAAAGCAAAACTCATCTGCATGGCCAGGAGGACATTCAGGAGTAAAGTTCGAGTCTCGGCGATCACTACCTGATGCACATCTGTTCCCTAACTCAACTTCTAGAAGGTGAAGGCTCTTATTCGCATAGATTCGTCATACCTTCCGAGATTTGGGGAAATTACTCGAGGTCTCGTTACGGTCATGACGGAAAGGCGTGACGGGCCGGGACTAGTTCAGTAGCATCCATGGTTCCAAGTTCCAATTACACCAACTCGGTCCCGCAATTGACAGGTGGTCGAAAACCCAATCATTTCTACGAGAATTAATTGTTCTTACATGAAACATTTCAAACTTAAAAACCACTTCCCCGGTGGATTGTGGAAAGGTTCCTGGGCTTAACCTTACCCCACCAAAGCTGCGACAATTTTTCAAAGTCCTCTGGAAATTCTAAAAGCTTAGTGTGTTAACCAAATGAAGAGTCCTCTGCTGATCGCGAATATCGTGTTATTTTCTCAAAGCGAGAATCGAGGGGCAGGGCTCGTTGCAGGCTCACAAAAGAAGGAAGCTGGTCAAAAAAAGGTTCCAAGGCTCTCCCAGCGAGAATAAAGACTCCTGCGAAACCTAGAACGGAGCTAGTTAACAAGATGAGAGTAGTTCGCTTTATTAATGTGAATATTAATGAGGGGATCGTAGAAACGCCCGTGAAACAGAGCTCCCGGGGCGTGCGAAAAAACCACGGGAAATTTTTTAGAAGAAAGCTAATTGATTTGGGATATTGTTTATTAACTATTAGTCTATCTCCGGTTTCGATTTTAAGCTGATTGATCTTGTGGTTGATTAATAACTCAATTTAGAAGTAGGTGGTATAAGAAGGACAAAGATTGGTGGGTGAGCGTTGCACGGGACTGGGCGTTGCATTTAACTCGTAAGCGGGAAGTCGAGTTTGATGTCGGCATTTTCAAGATCCAAGCTCCCCGCCCAAAACTGATTGATTGTGAGGACAATCCGCGCATCACCTTGTTTTACCTTCTGCTCTCCTCTCCGCATATTCTTGCCCTTTCATACCATCCTAGGTGGCAATCTCGTTGTTATGTCATCCAATTGCCCTAATGACCAAATCGACGGTGCAACCAGGGGCGGCGTGAACGACGTTGCTCCATCCCAGCGCTTCTCCGACGTCCCTTCAACACTCGACATCCCGGTGCACATTGAGCAAAAGGACGAAGATGATGCCGAAGCGGTCGAGATCTACCTCGAAAACCTCTCCGATCCGAATGAGCTGTGTTCCCTGCTAGAGATAGAGCGCGCTGCCCCAACGTACTGGATGTCGGTTGCTCTCGCATATGCAAAGCAAAGCAAGACCGACTACGCAATTGAAACGCTCATCCGCGGTGGAAATGCAATACAAGACAACGACTCCAAAGGGAGGCTGAGTATTGTGAGCTTTTTATGCTGGATGTATCTGTGGAAATGCCGAGAGGCCCCTCGCCTTGCGCCTGAAGGTGGACTTGTATCGGAGGCGAAAACCAAGGAATATTATCTACAACTGGCTGTCTCGACTCTCAATGATGCTTCACGAATCAATCCCTCATTTCCACCCTTGTTTCTCGCCCGCGGCGTTCTGTACCTGTTGAGGGCGTCTCTGCAAGCACCTTCGAAAGCCAGAGCAGCTAGCGGGGCATCCGTCGACTCAGAGAAAGCCGACCTTCTGCGCAGGGCACTCGAGTCATTCGAAGATGATATTCGGGTCTCTCGGGGAAGAACATGTTGGCTGTGATGGGAAAGTCAAGGGTGCTCTTCTCGCTGGGAAAGTATTCCGAAGCTCTAGCAGGATACCAAGAAGTTCTCGCAAAGATGCCTGATTTCATTGATCCAGATCCTAGAGTTGGCATTGGCTATTGTCTCTGGAAACTAGGGTTCAAAGAGGACGCCAAAGTGGCTTGGGAAAGAAGTCTCGAAATCAACCACAAATCCAAAATTGCCACTGTCTTGATCGGCCTCTATTACCTCGACGCCAGTAGCAGTATTCCCATAGAGAGTCCCGATTTCATCCGTATCTACAAGAAAGCCATAACGGAGTACATACAGAAGTCTTTCAAGCTGGATTCGAACTTCCCCCTTACTTGCGCAACATTCGCCGGCTACTTTTTGTCGAGGAAATCGTTCCCAAATGTTGATTCTTTATCTAATAAAGCAATTCAATACACAGATCTCAATGTCATTGCAAGTGATGGCTGGTATCTACTTGGGCGGAAAGAGCATTACGCAGGCAATCTCGACCGAGCAAGCGACTGCTATCGACGCGCAGATGATGCTCGTGGGGGCGCCGAAAGTGGCTATCTCCCTGCGAAGTTCGGCACAGCCCAATTACTTATCCTTCAGAATGACATTGGGGAAGCCAAACTGTGCCTGGAGAAGATGGTCCAGCATTCTCGAAACTGCGAAGCCACAACCCTTCTAGGTACATTATTCGCCGAGGAAGCTTTTGCAAATGGGTGCACTGCTCCTAAAGAAGACAAGAGTGCACAGAGAGCAATTCGACTTCTGGAAAGCGTACGAGCCGCATGGAAGGATTCTAAGAACAGTCATTTGCCCGACGCCACGGTATTGTTGAATCTAGCCCGGCTTTACGAGACAGAATATCCGGAGAAGGCCCTCCATTGCCTTCTCCAGGTAGAACAACTAGAAATCGACCGAATCGCGGAATCGGAGGATCACATCGACGTGAAAGACAAGTCAGAGACCCAAACTGCCCTCCGCAATGCCCTTCGCGATTTTATCCCACCACAGTTGACGAACAACATTGGATGCCTTTACTTCCAGGCCAATGATTACGAGCTTGCTGGCGAAATGTTTGAGGCAGCACTGAGCGCTTGCATGAGACTTGTAGGGGAGGATGACCACGCTGACACCGACATAGATGCTCTCATTACAACAATCAGCTTTAACCTGGGCCGGAGCTACGAGGCAAGAGATCTTACGGACCAGGCTGTTGAGGTTTACGAGCGGCTCCTGAATCATCACAATAACTACACCGATGCCCGGACTCGACTAGCATACATCAAACTGTGTCAATCTCCCCAAGACAAAGGACCTGATTCCGTTGCAAAGCTGTACGAAGATAACCCGACAGATCCCGAAGTTCGTGCTTTATACGGCTGGTACCTGGGAAAGGTGTATTCGAGCCGGAGACCAAACAGTATTGCCGAAGATCCCGAGCTGCGCCATTACAAGCACACCTTACAAAATTATGACAAGCACGACCGGTACGCTCTAGTCGGCATGGGCACCCTTTACTTGCAGTCTGCTCGAGAAATGCGACGGGGCACAAATCAAGAGAAACAAAAGAGAAGTGCTATGTATAGCAAGGCTGTTGAATTCTTCGAAAAAACACTTCAATTAGATCCCCAAAACGCCTATGCTGCACAAGGTATTGCTATTGCGCTTATTGAGGATAAGAAAGATTTTCAGAATGCGTTGCTCATCTTCCTTAAGGTCCGAGATGCCATTAAAGATTCCTATGTTTACGTCAATCTTTGTCACATTTACAGCGAGATGAGGCAGTACTCTAAAGCTATTGAGAGCTGTGGAATGGCGTTGTCGAAAGAGAACAAATCGAATGATCCTACCATACTAGCCTGTCTCGGTCGAGTATGGCTGAACAAGGGAAAGGCTGATCGCGATTTGAATGCTTACCAAATGGCGCTTGAATGTTCACAGAAGGTATGTTTGCGTCTTGTTTCAAAACCCAACGGTCTAACATTTAAATAGGCTTTAAATTCTGCCTCAGAAGAAGTCCATCTTAAGTTTAATATTGCGTTCGTCCAGATTCAGCTTGCAACCACAATGTACTCTCTTAGTGAGACGCAGCGGTCGTTGCAGCAACTCCAAGATGCCGCAAAGGGTCTCGAGCGGGCAATTGCAGCTTTAGACGAAATCGCTGCTCATCCTCAATGTCCGTACCCCAAGCACGATGTCGACCAGCGTGCCAATATGGCTCGCAATACTCTTCGAAAGCAACTTGAGAGAGCCATTGCTAGCCAAAAAGAGTACGAAGAAAAGAACAAGGAGCAACTTCGAGCTGCCATGGAAAGACGTCAAGCTGAATTGAGACGGCGAGAAGAAGAGCAACAAGAAGCATTGGAGAAGGAACGTGGGAGGCTGGCAAGGATCAAGAAAGAGAGGGAGGAGATCGCAATCCGTGACAGGAGGCTTGCTGAGCAGCGAGTCGAAGAGGAGCGTGCCATAGCAGCAGCTGACATGACAACGGATAGCGAGACTGGCGACAAAATCAAAAGAAAGGGCAAACCACCCAAGACGAAAGGCGAAAGGAGACCAAAAAATAGATCTGGGAAGAAGGGCCATGCAGACAGCGAGGACACAAAAGATGAGCCACCACCAAAGAAGCGACGGCTTGCAAAAAAAGAATCGACCAAATACAAGTCAGCTGAAATCGTGGCCGACAGCGATGATGATCGTGCTCTGCAACAAACGGAAATGGAATTGGAGAAGGAAGACAGTTCACGTTCAGGTAGGGATATTGCTGATGAGGACGATTCAGACGTTGGAGGTGTAAGCGGCAGGACAGTTGAGGATGAAGAACCCGAGACTGGTAGCAGATATCGACCGCAGAAACAGTCAAGGCGCACCCGAATTGTCGATGAGAGTGATGAAGACGAATGAAGGGACGATAATGAGAGAGAGCAAGGATGACGATGGCAATGAGTTGCTTCGTGGCAAGCCGCTGTCTCAGAAGGAACTCCGGAAGCAATGATACTTTGCGGTCCGTATTTTATAGTTTCCAGAACCACTGCACCCCACGTCCATGTATGAATAGGACCTGCGCTGCGAATATCGCATTTCCCATTTTCACAAAAGCGGTGGAGTTCAGGCCTGGTTAGGATAGGTCCCAATACCAATTTGGATGTCAAGACCCAAAGCGTTCGAAGATTCGTGTAACCGGACAGCTAGTTTCTAAGAGCTGCCAGAACTGTGCAAATGGAAAGGAGAAAAACTAATTCAGGATATGCAAATCTTTATAGGCGGTGGACGGGGATATCATCGGTTCCTCGAAGGGCCATATTGGGTCCCGTGTCTGTATTCTCTAAGAGTAAATACTCGCTCCAAACACCATACCGTCTGGATTATATTGCCTTGGTATTTTGATTGATTCCCTCCACTTTGGATACGAGTTGGGGTCTTGGTATAATCCAGACGATACGGTAGAACTCTCCCCTATCCACACGTTGGTTTAACCCGCACACAATGCACCGAGCAAAACATTGACAGAGCTCAGTGTGTCAAAAAAATAATAATTAAGGTAATTAATTATATTTAATTAAATCAAGTAAATAATTAATTATAATTTGATTATCGACTTTCAAAAAAAAAATTATTAGAAAAATTATAATTAAATATAATTAATTATTTCTAATTATCACGTGAAACCCATGTAAAAGTTATATAAGTAATAAATTCTCTTCTTTTTCTTTAAATAATATACGACTAAAGCATAAAGAGAGTAAATGTTAATTGATTTCCAAAGAAGAGAGAAGGAAAGCAAGGTAATATATATGTGAATTATTTGCTCTGGATATCACATGACCGCACCCACGTGACTAGAGAAATCAAAACCCTTCCTATAGTACTTATTTACAAAGATAAATAAAGCGAGTAAAGGCGGGATACTAGCTATTAAGCCTATAATAGTAAGGCGACATCTAAATTAGGGTAAAATATGCTTTACTTTTGCGTTATAACGCTTATATTATCTTTATAGTCACGTGTAGTAACACGTGACCCAGTAATTAATTATATTTAATTAAATTAAGCAAATAATTAATTATAATTTGATTACTACGATTCTGACTTAATTTGATTTGATTACCGGCCAATAATTATAATTAATTAAATTATTTGACACACTGACAGAGCTTCCATGAGCAACAAACTGACCAGTAAAATAGCCTACGACATATGGAGTTAAAACATTGATAATTACTGCTTGAAATGAAATTCATCTAATCCTTAAGAAGTGGTTAATTCTTTGAGATTTGCTCACCCCCTTTCTAAGCGAAGTGAGATTTCAACCACGAGCTAAAGAAATTGCTATGCCTCCTAACGGTACATTAATTCCATACCTCCTAGTATAATGTAAACAAAACACATGTCAAATATATAAAAACAGTGCACTTATAATGCTTTTAATATATTCCAAATACCAAGCAAATACAAAGTCTAATCTGGTATACAAGCACTAGCAGCCCCGAAACCGAAACTCCTTAAAACGTACGCCTGCCTACAAAGTCAAAAGAAAAGCCTGCAAGTCAACAGATCTCCTAACCTAATCATGCTAATCGTTCTCATGTATAATGCGCATAGTACCCACCCTAAACCCACGTGCACGCATTCGTATTGCCGCTATACTTCATGTGATCTTGCTGGAAGTGCCGAAGATCTTGGTTTGGGTGGTGCTACTTTGATGAATTTTGCTGGTATGCAAAACAATGACGAGATATGGACTTACATTACAAATTCGAAATATGGGTGGAGATTTAAACGATATGGAGTTACTGTATAACCACATCAGGCCCGTCTCTCGCTTCCTACCCTTAGGAATACCTTCGCATTCGGATCACGACTACCACCCTATGCCGTAGTCTCGTCCGTCGTGCTGCCGTCCACCAGGAAGTAACAGTACTGTTGTTCGGTATTGCATTCCTAATAGCTTCATCTTAGGATGCATTTTCTTTTTGCCTCTTTGTGTGTTTTAAGGGGTTTGGGGGATAGGGAGGGATTGGGCGGGAAGGAAAGCGAGGAGGGTCGGTTCAGGTTAGAGCAGCGACGGCTTACGTCTAGAGAGAAACCTGACTTTAGTGACATCAAGATTCGGTGCAGGTTATATTGGTAATTAAAAAGTGAATTTAGAAACGCGAAGCACACTGAATCTACTCTTGGATTGTTTTGGTTGAAAGCTGTTCTTTACAAATCGGCTACTACATTGCATTTTCACCCTTCTTCAACAACCTGCTCTGCGGTGGCCTCTCCCAGCGAAAGCAATACTGCCCCAGCTCCATTGCGGCACGTCGCGTCCGCACGCCTGTTACCCAATTAGGCTCTCCATCCAAAGTTTTTCCTAATTCGAAGGGGGCATCATACTCGGGCGGGTTTGGTAGGTCCGGCCATGTAAGCTGGTTAGGTGCATTGAGATATCGTTCCATGTCTCTGTCGGATCTTCGTTTGACTACCCATTCGTTCAAAAAGCTTCGGAATACTAATACATCAGAGTCCAGTTCGCGGTTGCAGGGCCACTCTGAGATGCTCTGCACCATGTCTATATTACGATCCCACGGGGGGATACTCGTAAAGTGCGTATCGCTCGTAATAAGCTCGTATAGTGAGAATACGACGCTAGACGCATCATCCCGACCGTCCATCAAATTATACTTTCCGCGTGCAGCGAAGTTAAAGTCGAAGAGGACGAGTTTGTACGTGGCTGGATCGACGAGCAGGTTTCGGGGTGTAATGTCTTGATGCATGATTCCCAATTCCAGGTTAAGAAAATCCACAACTTGGGTAAGTTGTTTTAGCCACTCAAATCGAAAAGGCACCTTTGGATTTTCGAGAGTCCCACCTGGGATATACTTGGTTGTAAATCCAATTACCCGAGACTCCACATCTTCGAGGATAATGCGATCAAGTCGTAGTAGATTAGGATGCGAAGGCAAACTCCCCAGAAGGTGCAGTTCATCCCAGGCCATTTGCATTCTCAAAGGCTTCCACCAGGAATTAAATTTGAAGGCAACCATTTGAGGATTCCCAGATTTATCTTCGTATAATGAGAGATCAACGCCTGGTCCTAAACGGTCGGGCTCTTGAAGTTTAGAGCACTGGATTGTAGGAAAATTGGCGAGTGGCGGGATAGTTGCGAAGGGAAAATGTGGGATAAAGCTCGTTTCATCCTCGTCCGGATCTGTGGAGACTCCTGTAATGAGCCCATTATCGTCGATAGTAACTGCGCAAACTTCCGGAGACAGGTAATCGGCAAATTGCGCCAAAATTTGTACCTCGTGGCCCTCGTCAGGTGGGAAGACCTTGGCGGTTCCTTTGAGCTTGACCATGTGCAGTTGATCCCAATCCCAGACGTTCAGAAAAGCTTCGGTGTTGGGATTTTCTGCAGCGCCAAAGTAGCTCCCACTATCGGTGAAGAATCTTTCTTCAGGCTTGATCATAGCGAAAATAATGTATTACTCCTAGAAGCTGTTGTAATTGTGCTTCGGCAACGTGGGTGAGCGACGGGCTTAAAAGGTTTAGAGTGGATATGCAGCACGCGTCGACGGGGAGTGTTTGCGCACCGTCACGAAAGCGACGCGCCCAGCCCTCCGTGGTTGACTACCCAATGGATGGGAAAGACTAAAACGGACCCCTCCCCCCCCGTTGTTGATTGGGGGTGTCGATTGGGGCAGGGGTATTAACGACTTTTAATAGGCTATCTAAGTACCCTAAAATTCTTAAGTTAGATTTTCTAATATAAGTATAGGCTAATATATTAGAAGTATCCACTAGCCAACCGCCCAAACCCCCATCCGCCCACGCCTAAAAAATCGATTTTTAATCACACCTTTATTATAATTACAAATCCTTTAATATATTAATGTCCCATAGTATTTTCAATATCCTAATAACTATATATTTAATTTAATCTTGTGGTACGGCTAGAATTGCCTATTAATATCGAATTTTTATTTTTTTGATATGTGTCCGGCTTACTAAAAATTATTGGGTGCGGCCGCATTTACTAAAAATTATAAGGTGCGGCCGTATACCAAAAAAATAAAAAATCGATATTAATAGGCAATTCTAGCCGTACTACAAGATTAAATTAAATATATAGTTATTAGGATATTAAAAATACTATAGGACGTTAATATATTAAAGAATTTGTAATTATAATAAAGATATAATTAAAAATCGATTTTTTAGGCGTGGGCGGATAGGGATTTAAGTAATTAGCTAATAAATACTTTTATAACCCTTATATTATAATTATGTATTTTCTAACTTATAATAAAAAGATTTCTTAAAATACTATTTTAATTTAAGGGAATTTATATACTAATTAATTAGGTTCCAGTTTTTGAGCCCTATAAGGCCCTATAAATTATGGGCATATAAGGCTCTTATATCTGGTTTTAGGAACTTATTTACTAAATTTCTAGGCTTTCTTAAGTATAACGGCTAGTATTATATAGTTGGTTTTAGCCAAAGGAATTAGTTTTAGCTAAGGTTCTAAGCTATAATTCAAACCAAGCTCGCTTCCAAAGCTCGGCGTTTTAGTAATCTTGGTTATATCTACTTATTTACTATTACATCTCACTCCTTCTTTCCTTAGCTTTAAATTCTATAGGATATTAGAATTATAGATCTTTAAGTATTATTCTATTACTTTATTCCTGTTATTATATAATCTAAAGCTCTTATTTTTCAGATAGTAATTATTATTATTATTTATTAGGACTTCTATTTACTAGTCCGCTTTTATATAGAGCTCTCTTATTTATTATTATTATTATTATTATTATTATTATTATTATTATATAGCGCTGCCTATAGTTCTACCCGCAAGATATTAAAAAGCTCGATTTTGGCTAGCTTATTTCTTATTATTTATTAGAGCCTCTAGCTTATTACCTTATTAATTTTTTTACCTCTTTACTAACTTTACTAATATTTCCTTAAGAATAGACATCTTTCAAATACAAGTATAATACGAGTTTAATAGCCTATACTCTGAAATTACTACTTTATAAGTAAAAAATAATCAGAAATCAAAGCTCCCGGATCCTAAGAAGTTTACTAAATCAATATATAAGTTTAATACCTGGCTCTTATTAATTAGGACTAAGCTGCGAATTAATAGCCCGGCTATTAGAGATTTTATTATCTAGTTTTATTATATTTACCTTAATCTGAAGTTCTTTATCTAATTAATAGTTCTGCTATAGCTTTCTTATATAAAGCAAGCTTAATTATAGGATTATAATATAATTCTGAATTAACTTTTACGGGTATATAATAATTCAAATAAGTAATTAGAGGCTAAAAACAAGCTTTATACCCTTTACTAAGGTAATAATTCTTTCTTTACTTATATTACCAAGTTTAAATATACCTTATATAAAGCAAATAGCTAAGGCTAGCCAGATATTAATAAAATCTCTAGCTTTTATAATAGCCTTAATTTAGTAATTTGTTCTCATCTAGCCTAATAGCTTATTTTACCTAGGGTTTATATTAATTTCCTATATATGGTTTAGTAGCTCTTATTAAAAATAGCCGCTCTACTATACTAGACTACTTCCAGAATTATTAGTAATCCTATAGATATTAATAAACTAATAATTAGTATTCTTATATTAAGCCTAGTATCTATCTGCCAGAACTATTAAAAATCTAGCTAGTACTTTAGATATGGTTCGTATAGCCACTAGGTAAAAAACTATCTCTGGCTACCTATAAGTACTTCTAATTCTAGTAAACGGGTTATAATTACCGTAATTAATAATAATTCTAAGAGTAATTCTAATAAATCTAGAAGAGGGCTAATATTAGATCCGGCTTTTAATTATATATAAAGAGCTAATTTTATAGCTAGTAATTAGAAATAGGGTCCTTTTCCTTTATTTTATTATTTTATTATACTTACTTTAGCTTTCCCTTTATTCTTTCTAGTACTCGAAATAAGCTTTTTTAGAGAGAGAAGTAATATAATAGCTAGTATTATATAGTTAGTTTTAGCTAAAGGAATTAGTTTTAGCTAAGGTTCTAAGCTATAATTCAAACTAAGCTCGCTTCTAAAACTCGGCGTTTTAGTAATCTTAGTTATATCTACTTATTTACTACTATATCTTACTTCTATTCTCTTTAGCTTTAAATTCTCAAGATATAGGAAATTATTAATTTTTAAGCCTCGTTTTATTACTTTATTCCTGCTATTATAAAAAGTAAATATTTTAAGAAATTAAGTATTATATAGATCTCTTAACTTAGGCTCTAAATTATAAATATTAGATTTATTAAAATAATATTAAAATTCCTAAAATATTAAATTCTAGATATTTTGGGCTTCTTTTTAGAACTAATACCAGATATTAGTTTCTCTATAGCTTATTTACTAATAATTTTCATATTATATTTCTTTTCTAGATAAGATTTCAGATCTTTCTAATACTTAATTAAAAGCCTTTTCCGGATCTTTCTAATCTATTTTTTATTAGGCTTAAATTTTATTTAAATTTTATTTAATCTAGTAATTATAATTTCTATAATAATATAGCTAAATGGATTCTAGTAATATTTGAGGTTTTTAAAACTCTTATAAAAATATTTATAGTACTTATATTTATTTAAATCAGGTTTAATATTCGATTCTTTATTAGATTAATTCTCGAATATAATAAAGATTATAGGAACTTTTAAATACTTAGTATTCTGATTTTCTAAAATAATCTAATTAAATACCTGGCTATATTACTCGAGTATAAAAATCGGAAGCCCTAATTCGTCTTTATTATATAGATTACTAAGCTATTTTATTATCTAAATTAGTACGAGTTTCTGCTAGAGGGCTATTAAGAACTTAATTACTATTAGAATATCTTTGATTTTAGTAATTTTAAGAACTCTAGTATAATTAAATACCTTTTTCTAATTAGTAAACTAGTATTTAGGGCTTATTTCTTCTTTACTTATTTATAATAGGACCGAGCTATATATTTTCCGAGTAGTAGTAATTTATATTATATTTATAGAACTATATTTTATTAATAAAGCTTTAAAAACCTTATAAATAGAGCTTTATTTATTTTCTTTAAATCCTAAAATAAAGTTATAAAGATTTCTATATTTGTAATAGATATATATAATAATATATAAATAGGTATTAGATATTATAGATCTAGTTTCCTATTTTAGATAAAGCTTATAATCGGAATTATATAAATAATTAGAATTATATAAATTATATGGGATTATGTTTCCTAGTTAAGTAAAATACTTTATAGGCTTAGCTAAGTACTAGGAAATATATAGGGAAATGCTCTTAGCTTTAGGAAAGAGTATTAATTAGTCTTTTATTAGAATTAACTCTTGGAATTAGTTATACTTATAAGTATTACTTTATAGCTTATTTACCTTAATTACTTATATATTATTTTACTATTATATATCTTATATTCTAATTAATCTAATTTTTAGGAAATAGTTTATTACGAGATAGTTAAGCTATTAATAAATAAAAAATTAATAGCTAAAGTATTAATTAGGAGAAGTGCCTTTATTATTACTAGAGTAACCTAACCGGATATCTAGGAAAGTATCTAGTTAAGTACTCTTTATATTACCTAATTAGGAGAAGGAAATAGAACTTAGATATCCCTAGAACTAGTAAATAGGATAATAATAATAGAGAAATTAATAGCGGCTTACTATTATATTACTAAATTAGAAATAGAGATATAATAAAAAGAAGATCTAGAAAAGCTAGAAGCTTAGATCTATTATTTTAAAAATATTTGAATACCTAATATAGAATCCGTTATATCCCTAGTAGTACTCTTGGTTTAGAGGACTCTAAAAACCCGAGAACTATTTACTTACTAAAGAAAGAATATTAAAGAAGCCTAGGACTTCTTTTATTAGATAGAGTTAAAGTAATATAAAAATAATAGAATTATTTAGGCTACTAATATAGTAAAAGTTATATATTATATTTTCTATTTTAAGGATATAGCCAGAGATATCTAGAAATATAAAAAGTAATTAGTAAGTATTAATACTATAGATTAGGAAATTTTTATTAAATTTATAAAGAATTCTATCTTAGATCCGAAAAACTATAATAATAATACCTTTACTAAGTTTAAAGATACTAAATAATAGCTAGGCTAGAGTATTTAAAACTTTATATTTTATTTAAATAACTTATTAGATAATTTAGGATATATGAATTTATTATAAGAATAGAATAACTTATTTAGTAGCTTAAGGCAAGAAATCCGAAACAAGATTAATTATTAAGGAAATACTTTATAAGAGAAAGAAAAGCTTATTTTTACTATTATAAAAATTAAGAATAATTTAAATTTATTTACTTAATAAGAATATAATAATAAGTTAATAAGATAATAAAAAAAAGGAAATAGGAAAAAAGAAAAGAAAAATAATAAAGAGAAATAGAAAAGAAGTATATTCTTATTATAAGGTTTATAAAACCGAAATAATAAAGATATAGTAA